TTTTTTTTTTTTTTTTTTTTTAATAAGTAAATGAAGGATTAGGTTTAATTTTTTTGTATGGTCATTACTTTTTAATTTCCTTTAAATATCCATTCACAGATAAAAATATCTGTACTTTCAATATCAAATAAAGTACAGAAGGCAACCATGTATAGAGCACTACTAAATAAATCCTGATAAATCATTTTTACTAGTGTTCATCTGAAAAATTATTTAATTTGAATTTGGAATTGCAGGTACTGGAATGAATAATGATGCAGTAGGTGTTTCACAAACACTTATACAGTGGTTAATGGAGATATTGAAGTGAAAAGTGGCAGAAACATTAACGTAAAAATAAGAAATTCTGTGTTAGGATAACAGGGTTCCTAAAATCTTGTGGACGTGGTTACAGCAGGGGCGGGCAAAGTATGGCCCACAGGCTGGGTCTGGCCTGCCAGGTGATTTTCATCTGGCCTGCAGGCGGGCACCCACCAATTTAATTGTATCCAGCCTAGCTTACAGCTGCCCCCGCTGCATTCCTCATGGAGCTGAGCCCTGCCCAGTCCCACTGGGGCAGTGCTCTACACTCCCACCCTTAACGGTGGGAGGGCCCTGGCTCTGGCCAGTGTGCACAACCTCTGGGAAGGGCTGCTGCTGCTGCAGCCACCCAAGGAACTGCTTGGCTCCTCCTGTCCCTGCTGCAGCAGTTGGGAGCAGGTAGGGAAGTGGCAGCAGGCAGGAGGAAGCTGCAACTGGGTGGGAGCATAGGACCCACACTGGGGCTAGGACTAGTAGGCCCAGGATAGAGAAGTGGTAATGTGGAGCCCGTGTTGATGGGAGCATGTGGCTCCTTGCAGCTCGCATGCAATTCCTGGGACTTGGTTGGAGCTGAATGACTCCAAGGGGAGCCCTGCATGATGGAGCCAGCAGCCTGTTCCTGCTCCTGGCCACCACATGTTACCAGATATGCCCATTGCTTTGGGGTGTGGTCATGTATTAGGGATAAGTTTCTAAGGTCTTTGTAATTCTATCAATGTGCTGCTTGTGTTTCTATATGGAGCTGTATCTCTCCCTTCTGCAAGCCCTCACCCCCCAATGGAGCTATGTTGCAGGACTCGGTTTCAGTGGGGCTGGGTACCTCCAGCCACCAAATCAGTCACACACAGACACACACACACGACTGTCTCGGCTGGGTTGATCAGCATGTACAGACTGATACCCTTATGCCACGAATCAGTTTGTTAAGGTAACAATAAAATGCAGTCAGACACAAGCACACAGGTGAACTGAATACCTCTGAATCTGGCTGGGTGTCGAGCTGACACCCTCTTGGGCCAGCATTCAGTTCATTAGGGCACATCTGAGCCAAACTGGGTCAGTCAGCCTATACAAGCTGATCACCTTATGTGTCTCAAACTCAGCATGTCCCAATCTTGCCCTAACTGTCCTAAGTAGTGGTAGCCTCTGGATGAGTGGACCCCACAGTATTTCTGGACTTCACAGGGATCTTTGGCTTAGGTAAAAGAAGCATTGCTGCAGAGCAAGTGGGGAAGGGAAGTAGAGAAGGAAAAATGCACCCAGTTGCCACTAGTTTGACTATAAAAGTTTTTTTTATTGCTAAGTATATGAAATGTATAATGGTACTACTAGTAATAGACATGCAAGGAAAAACAAAACAATTACACAATTAAACCAGGGTAGTATTGTGTTTGGAGAAACCTAGCTCAAGCTTAACTAAAACAATTTAGGTTCAGAAAGCTATGCCTAAAGAGAGAGAGCGAGAGCTGGGATCTTGCCGTTCCAAGGCACTCGGGTGATTTGTTGACGAGCAAGGTTTCTAACATGATTGTTGAAGGGGAGACTATCTGTTTTTCTCAGCTTCTCGAGAACAACAGTGGATGGTGTCAGAGAGGTTTCTCTCTCTTGAAGCACACTGTTTGCTGCTTTACAGCTTTCTTATACCCTTAGTCTAGCCTCTTCAAACCATTCTTTTAATTCTGTAAATCAAGACGGTCCCAAGCCATAATTGACGGAAAATCCGGTTATTTAAACAGTTTAAATGAATTATGTTTTTTAGTGACAGGGGGTTATCTGGTTTGGAACATCTCAAAAAACTGATTAACAACCAGGAAAAACATCAAGTTTTATGGAGTAACCAGTCACCTAGGAGCCAGCTTGAAATTATTATGAATATAGAAGATATACTGGAAAGGATACCACATTGTTTCTTCTCAGATAGCCTAGCTATGCTTGCACTGTTAAGTTGGCATCAGTGTTTTGTATTTTACCTGTTGTGAATAAGCCTCAGCTTAGCATGATTTTCAGATTTTACTGTAGTCTTTTAACAGACTTAAGGGGATTACTTGGAGTGTTCATAAAGTTTGTGGGGAGGACTTTCACCAGTCATCCCGGGAAAAATATGACAGCATTTGTGGTCAGGGCTCCAATGGGCTGGACGCTGTGATGAACCCTTAACCATTGTTCAAATGTCGCCCATACCCCCTCTGACTCGGTCTCTTGCCTCAGCATTCCCTAACCCGGCAACCGAGTTTTAGTGCATCAAGTTTAAATAGGCCTCCTATAGTGGGACCATGGAATGTACAGCCCAAGATGCCTATTAAACTTTTCTTCTGCTTAATTCTGGGTAGATGAGGTGTGTGTGGTTGGGTGGGAGAATAGAAAAAGTCCTTTGCAAGTCCAGCAAGCTGGGTGCTGGGGCTCCCTCAGGATCACAGAGCTGACCGGTAATGCATAGAGCTCCCAGGATTCAGCTGGGTGTGGCAGGGAGCCCTGTGCGATGGAGCACGGCTGGCTTGTCCCTGCTCCCTGCAACCCTAGCTAAGTTGTGGGATCTGCACCTGGTGGCAGGAAGCAGGGCCAGGCCTCTAGCTCCATCACATGGGGCTCACTCCAGTGATGCGTGGCTCTGGCCAAGTCCCAGGAGCTGCCCATGAGTCACGGAGAGCCCTGTGCCTGGCCCTGCACCCTGCCACCATGTGCACCCCCTGGGACTTGGTCAGAGCTGTGTGCTGCTGGGAGGCTCTGCCTGCCATGGGCCATGAGCACCCT